AAATTATAGTTATCATATATATTTATATAGAGAAACCGCCTCTCCTTGTTTCCATGCCTGTTTCAAGGCAAAACTTTATATAGAGGTGAAATCTCAGAAGGTGGCAGCACTTGACAGACCTTTTCTGAGCTCATCTTTTAAAAAACGTGACCATGGAACCCTATGTAAGTGGCCTGCTGCTTCAAGCCTTGTGATCTTCACTTCCAAATAGTCCCAGTTTACTTTTTAGTTAATCTATAGGGGACTATTTGTATCATTTACCCCTTTCCCCCTACAAAGATACTTAAAATCACTATATTCTTGTTATAATAGATGAAATACATTAGATTTAAGCATTTTCCCCCTGTGGCTTTTCCTTCTTTCCTAACAAATTCATTAAATTATTTTTTTGCAATTGGCAGCAGAGGGACAGTGATTTTAAGCTAATTTCATGTAAAAAGAAAGAGACCTTTCTCCTCCTGGAAAATATGTGTGTATATGTATATATGTGTAAAAAAAAATGAGAGTGTGCACATAAAAAACGGCCGTTGAATCTGTGTGTGCTATTCTGTACAGAAGTGCAGAGACTGAAATTTTGGCCTAGTACTTAATACAGTCCTATGACAAGTTCAATGACTTTTTAACTTCAAGTTGCAACACATCTTGGTATGTACAATAAATGTGACTGAACCTGGGAAGGTGACAGGGGAGGAGGATTTCGGTTTATTTGAGAAGAAGCAACACAGGCCAGATCTGGGCGGGGTGAAGCAGTTATTTCAAGGATTCTGAATTTATGCACTGTACATCTGCCTGGGAATTTACAATATTATATCTTTTATCTTGGCTAGCATTAAATATGTATTTCTGAAATTGAAGTAGTTTTACTACATAGTGATACTGTTGCATGAAGTTCACCAATATTTTATAAAATGTAGTAAATTTATAGCCATTGTCACGAAAGACATGCTTCTGAATACCTCCAGGCCTCACTGCTGCCATCACCTCCCATGATTTCACCACTGCTAGCTATAAAACAGTTGATCAGGACTCCAAACACTTGGGAGAAGTACAAGAAATTTTAATTTATCAACGTGGCCTTTCTTCTCGATAATTTGTGCTCATCTGATCTAAATTCTGAGTGTCTAGTGAAATTACACATTCTTAATCATCATGTGTAAAGTTAATCAGGATGTTAAGTTGCTAGGAACATCTTTAGGAGCATGCCTGGGGGCTACAACAGAGGAAAAATTGTCTTTGTCGTACCATCCTCTTGAACTATTACATACAAAAATAACAACACAATTTTAGCCCCTGGAAACTTTTAGGGAAAACATTAAATTGCATGGTTTTGTCATGAAAGAATTTATTATGGTAATATAAAATGTTTGGTCTCTATTCTGTTTTCAAGTTATTATGTTCAGATAGATTTTAAGCACAGATAATAGTAATAACTAATAGTGAATATTAGTTGATTACTTTCGCTGTCTCTGAAAATTTATCTTGGAAATCTGTGCTTTAGATCATTGGTTTACAATACTATATTTTAAACTAGTTTATCTATTTATTTATTTTTTAAACAAGTTTTATTAATTCTTCAAAACAAACAATACATACATACACAAAAACACAAAACATAAAAGCGTAAAAAAATCTCTTTTCTGAAAGTTGCTTAGTCCCGGGTTATAACTCTTGGTACAGACACAAATTCAAATTCATATTCCTTTTATATACCATTTCATATCTTATTAACATTTTCAATTTTCTATATAACTTCTCCTCTCTTTTAAATTTTCTCAATTTTATTTTATTTATCTCCTCTCAATTCAGATCATAATATTTATTATTCTTTGTCTGTTCTATTTCCAGCCATCCATTTATTTTTCTTCTTTAAAAAAGAAGAAAAACTTCTCCTGTACACTATATGGAGTATGATGCCTTTATCTCTCTCCCCTATATTTATAATACTTAATATAAAACACATAACTTACATTGGGATTCTGTCTGGTACATTCTAAAATTATATTATATTATCAAAAATGTTACAAATCTAATCATTAGTATTGATATTCATTTATATCTTGAACGTTTAACACATTACTTTTCAATTAAATCACATACTTTTATGGGAGCCCTATTTTCCATAATTATTCCCCCCCCCACATCACATATTATAGCTCATTATTTCATTACAATGTTCCTCCTTCTTCTACTTCAAATCTATCATTTCACAAAAAATTTCGCTAATATACCATAGTCTGATCATTAATATTAACAATCATTTATATCTTAAACATTTTATCCATTTCAATTAAATATCATGCCTTTGTGGGAACAATTATGCTTTCCAAAAATTATTACCCCCCCCCCCCCATCACAATCTTAAATCATATTTCATTGCAGTACCCCTTTTTTCTTAACAAAAATTTCACTAGTTTATGTTAAATATTTTATCACATTTTAAATTACATATTATTTCCAATTTTCTATGGTTATTTTTAAATACAAATATAAAAATACAGTCTTATGTACCTTTCTAGAATCCCTTTATCAATAAAGTTTATCCATTATCTCTAAAAAACTTTTGCTTCTTAACATCTTGCTCCCCACCATTAGGGCTTCTCATCCCTTCCTTTCTCCCTTGCTTCTTCTTCTCTTTGTCCTCTTTAACCCCTTGTCTCTCCACCTCCTTTTTATTCTGTTTTCCCCCTTTCTGTTGTTTTCTAACATAATGTCCCTTTTTCACCTTATTCTTCTCTTTTTGGGTTGTTTTTCCAGATCTTAGAGTCCTCTTTTCCTTTTTCTCTTTCTTTTTCCCTTCTCCAACTAGTCATTTGTTCATCAAAGATGGCTTCTTCTTTGTCCCCTTCATCCTGTTGTTCATTCTACTTCACATAAGTATAAACCGCCATTTCCAAAAATTGAAAAATAGTGCCAAGACCATCTTTCCCTTCTTGTTTTTCTTTTTCATATTTTTGATGTACAAGTTTCAATCCATCCACAAGTGATGCCATTGTGCAGAGAAAAAGTTTTTCCAGACAACCACCCAGATGTTTTGATCAGAAATGATTCTCAAAAGTTCCAAAATCACCAAACAATCCAAACAGGCTGTTTCTTTTAAATACCTTCTTCTTCTTCACTTTCTCTTTCTGGAGTTAAAGTTTGATGACAAAGTTCCCTTTCAAATATATTTTTGGAAGTCTTATTGATGTTTAGTAACTCTTTAAAATTCTAGGCAATCTTCTCCTTGTTCTCAAATTTTGCTCCAATTTCCCCCCCTCTCCCTTCCCACTCACAGCCAAAAGGATTTTTTCCCTCCACTGTCACTTTAGGAAGGAGAGTGGAACAAAGAAAAAAACTTTCCCTTTTAAAATATTCGCAGCTTGTAACTCTCACTAGAGACAACACATACTTAGCAGCCTTCAAGTTTCCAGGTCACTTTCTCTTGTCTTGTCCCGGTTAGAAGCAACTTTCACTATTCTTCCGACTCTCTCCCTCCTGCACCTGCTTGTCCGGCTGCAGATTTCTTCGTGGCGGCCATTGCTGACTGCCGTTCCTCCGCCTCGGGAAAAGGGGGTTTAGCCGGCTAGGGAGGGGGTCTGTGACGCCCCCAAACCCCTTTCCGGATCCCCCCTGTCTTCAGCTGCCTCTACGGGGCAGCTATATCCCCCAGATCCAAACGGATCGGGGGAACCTTGGCGGCGAACGCAGCAGGGATCGCGTGGTGTCGCGAATCCCTGCCGCCGCCGAAAGTTTGCAAACCGGAAGTCTAGTTTATCTATTTTAAAAGACGTTGTCTATGGATGTCATTGGGTGTCTATATAAACAGACCTGTGTACAACTATGTTAATCCATCAGTGGAATGTGTTACTAAGAATAAATTTCTGTTTCTGTAGCTTTCCTAGATATGGTGTAGAGGTTGGGTAATCTGGGGTATGGAGAAAGCCAAGGAAGTTAATCTGACTATTTTCATGACAATCTTCTTGCATGACATTAATCTATAATGTGACTTAAATTAGGATAGGTTTAGGAACATATTTTAAAAAGATATTAAATGCATTTTCCAGCAAAATGTAGGGGACTAAAAAATAGTAAAAATTTACTACATGAGCGGAATTTGTTGTTAAAGGCTGGTGCAGTGGTGATGGTTGAGTTCATGATTTTGGGTGCACAGCATGGCTGTGTTGTTTTACATAACCTTTGTTATTTAAACAAACATTAATTAATCAGTCTTAAATATTTAGATTATATGCGAAATATTAAGTGTATCTTTCATTAGAATATGGTACATAGCAAGAGGGAAATAAAGTATTCTTGATTCAATTATTGTATGATGAAGGGTTAATTCTACAGAAAATATAAATATTAAGAAAACAGTAAATAGAAACATTCAGTTAAAATAGTGGCAACAAATAAAACATGGGTGTCCAACTGTCTGGCTTGCCTGGACTGCCTTGGGCTGCATATAAATATAGCTAATAATGTTAGTTATAAAAATTGCATAATGTTAAAAAAGTTTATAATCTTGTTTGCAGTACTAGCTATCCAGGGCTTCATGCAGCCCACAGGTTGGACATACATGTATTAAAAAATGGCAGTTACATTACATTACTTGTGTTAATAATAATATGAAGGAAGAATATTATATATAGCCCAATCATTTTATTGTCATTAAATATATGGCTTCTGTGCAACTTCTGTTTTAAAACAATTTCTAACAATAGTTTGCTGCTAAAATGGCATCCACCAACATTTCTTTATTCTCACACATTTCCTGCACAATTCCAGATCTGCTTCACATGTTGGGGGAATTTCAGTAGGTCAGAACAAAGGACTATCCTATTTTATGAAATCTGTTTTTACAACTTTCAGTATAGGTAGTAGAAGAGTGTAGAGACAAAAAATGCCAAACTAGAATTAAATTAGTATAAGTGTAAATATAGTTAGCATAGAAGCTCAACATTATCACATTAGTTGTTTTTTTCTACAGCATAACATTCACTAAATGTCAAATTTATTTTTAGATAAATGAATTGGTGGATGCCCGAGATGTCACTATTGGATCCTGGTTCGAAGCTCATATAGAAAATGTAACTCGAGCAACAAAAGGACATAAAAATGGAAAAGCTCAAGGAAAGAGTGGCAGTAATTACAAAAGGACTAATGGAAACTTGAGCCAAGATCATTCTAGAGAAAATACAAATAATTTGGACAATACACCTTCTACATCTTATACAGATTATATGGATACTGAAGATATTATTTATCGTATCAAGTATGATGAGTAAGTGCTGCTGATATTATTATGAGGATGCCATTGAGTATGTGGTTGATATAAAATAAGAAAATGGGATCCTTAAAACAGGTTCACATTTTGAGTTCAAAGGAAATAGTATTTTAAAAGTTATGAATCATGTCTGATATCTATCTATATATAGATATATATATATACAGAGAGAGAGAGTGAGAGATGATTTGGGGGGAAAGTTTGGATATAGTATTTACTTTGGATTTTTTTCTTTTTAAAAGTTCAGTTGGCTGTGTGAGACATGAAGCCATATTCAGTATTATAATTAGAATTAGGGTGGGTATATTTCTTGTGGAAGATATTAATGTAGTTAAATCAACACTTAAATTGTTGACCAGGTACCAAACAAAATTGAGATACTCTTTAAGATTTGGGATTCTTTTTCCAGTGTTTATTAATATTTATAATGTGTTTTTATCTGAGTAAACATGAAAATCTTATTTCCTTTTATTCAAGGAATCAAATAAGATCCATATAAATGCTTTACCATGAGTAATACCGAAGGGAGATGGGAAAAAATTACTGGATTTACTTACATACGAAAGCAACTACAAAATCTGTGTCTACAACCAGAATATTTTAAATTATTACATTACATCAAGGGTCTTCAAACTTGGCAAGTTTAAAACTTGTGGACTTCAACTCCCAGAATTCCTGAGCTAATATGGCTTGAGGAAGAATTCTGGGAGTTGAAGTCCGTAAGTCTTAAAGCTGTCAAGTTTGAAGACCCCTGCATTACATCTTATACACACACACATACAAACATCCTATAGTTTTTGTTGGCTATTCTCCCATGAGCTGTTCAGAGCATCCTTCAGTCTCTTCTGGAAAGGCTGGGCTTAAAACTCTGGGACGCTCCTCCTCCTCCGGGACACCTCCCCAGCGTCCCCCAGTTTAACTCAGCCTTCGTGGTAAGAGGTTGTGCACTCCCTGACTGGAATGGTTTTCTGATTCAGCTACTCAAAATTCAGGTTTGCTCTTGGGTTAATTCGGCTTGTAAATTTTTCCCCAATTAATTTGGTGATTTCAAGGCTTGTGGCTCTATTAGGTCATCCCCCCGATCAGTTTGAGAGCAGTTCTTTGTGGCTGGCGGAGCCTGCCACTCCGCAGGCAGCCTGAGACGGCTGCTTTAGGCAATTAGCTTATCTAATCCCCCGATCGTCTTATCTCTGCGATCTTGGCGGAGCGTTCGCAGCCGCGGCTCACTTCTACTTGCCATTTCGACTGACAGGATCATTTATCTGACAATTTAGAGAGTCAGCAGCAGCGGCTCGTTAAACTGCTCAGGCAATTAACATCGGAGATTCTGCTTTCCCGCCATTTTCAACGGCTGGCTTCAAGTTCGTGCCTAAATATCACAGGCGCCATTCCTCGCTGGTTTCCCTTCTTTGGGACCGGGGCAAGTACCTTCCCACTCCACTTCCCTGGCATTATTTCTCTTTTATCTTGCTGGCGTTGGATAAGCAGGCTAGTCCTTGTTGGGGAATGCTCTACCAGGGAAAACAAGCTCCCAGATCTAAGCACCTTGTGGGCTGGATCTGGCCCCCGGGCCTTGAGTTTGATATCTCTGCCATACACCATTGCATGTAGGCAGTGGTGGGATTCAAATAATTTAACAACTGGTTTGCCCAGGGTCAGGTTGGCTGTCATGAGAGGCGTGGCCCATCCCCGTCCTCCAACTCTGGCACACATGGGGGACGAGCCTCCTGTGACAGCCAACCTGACCCTGGGTGAATCAGTTGTTTAATTGCCAAAAGGCTGTTTCTGAGCTGTTTGTCTGCACATTGGTCTCACGGCTGTTTCAGCCTTCAGGACGTGGCTCCTTTAAGAGGCGAGGTTTCCGAGGAATGAGAGTTACCATAGAGACAAGGAGTTGTTGCTCATGTGGGAAGGTGAAAAATTGCAGGGAAGTGGAGGGAGGGATTCTTCCCTCCCCGTGGAACTGCGTGCAGGAAATGTTGATCAGTCTGAGCAAAAGTGAGAGGGGTGAGAAATTAAGTTGGCAGCACAATCAAAGCTAGGCCCAATGTAGGGGAGACTGCAGGGTTAGTTTGGCAAGGCAAATTATTATAAACCTCCTTCCCCCACCCCTACTCCCACTATCAAGCTGGATCCTTGGTGCGGCGCAGTGCTGCAACAGAAAAATGGGCAACAGAGCAGCCAGCATGAGGGAAGGAGGAGGGAAAGCGACCTTCTCAAAATAAAAGAGTCATTATTCATGATTTAGGAATTAAGTAAACTGTAGCAATGTAAAATATAAAATTTAGGAAAATCTAAGTTGAAATAGGAAGGGGTTCTATTGTGATACAAATCTGTCTATCATTTCTTTGGCAAATTAGTTTTGAGCATCATATGCAGCAAATCATTTATATAATATATAAACAACATAGGACTGAGCTCTTGAAAAAGAAGGGTCCATTGGCATTTGTAGAACCTTGACACATGCCTAAATTGATTTAAAACATCACATGGAAGAAGACTAATTTCATTTTAGTTATCTATTTACTTTCTGGCTCCATAACATTTTAGACTGAGATAGATTTTTATTATGAAAATAACCACTAAAATTGACTGAAATGTTAATACAAAATAACCACTAAAATTGATGGAAATGTTAATGCAGATGGGGAAGCTTACAGATCTGTTGGATTCAAAGTTCCATCAGTCCATGTTGGAATGATCAATGACAGAGGTGATTGGAATTGGTTCTTGGCTATTATAACAATTCAAATCTGTTGTTAGCTTGACTCTACTGTCTTGTATGTTTCACTGAATAAATTTCTTCCAATAGATTATGTAGGAAATCTCTATTACTGATATATGACACAATATCAATAATGAAGTTCAGCATTCATTTTCCTGGTTACATTGAGCATCCTAAATGACTACATGCTGTGTAGATGTTCTGTGTGTAAACAAACTATCAAGCTTTTCTGCTTATCTGTCAATACTAGGAACAGCCCAAATTAATCCACTGTAGAAAGAAGACCTCTTTAGCTGCCTTCCAACTTCTTCAGAGCATTGCAATTTCTTTTTAGTTTAATCTATCAGCACTATATGATATATCAGACCAATAAACACACTATGGCTATAGTAGAATCCTTTAAGTCTGAATGTACTTTATTCCTCCCTCTTTTACCTTTAATTGAATGGGGAGGGTACTGTTAGAAGCTTTTTCATAAATCTCTTTCTTGGTAGGAGATCCAGCTTTAATTTTATGTGACTGTCATCAGATCTTTCCTTAATTCGTCAAGAGTCTAATACAATCATTGGAATATATCTTCCAGACTTGCTGAAAATGTTTTGGTAAAATTAGATTACCTTGTTAAACTATTTTTTATGTATTGATGGTGAGAGTCTTTACCTGGATGGTAGCTCAATGCTCCATAAACATAAAAAATAGCATTCAATTTAACACTGTTTAGTGAAGGCTGTGTAGTTCTATCTAGTATTCATTGGAACATGGAATAGTTTGCTGAACTGCTTGTATATAATCTGTGCTGCTAATTCCACCCTTAAAGCTAGGATCTTGTGATTGGGCAAAGTTCAGTGTTTTTTTAACCTGTTTTGAAATAATTCATAGGAGAAGTTGTATCGATCCGAAACAGTGGTCATCAAATGGTAACTTTGGAATTTTTTAGGTATAAAATGCACCTTTGTGTGTAATTATTTTGTTGACGTATTTCTTCATTGTAAGCAACAACAAATTTTGGAAGTATTTTGTGTATCTAATTATACTATGTTTTGAGATATGCTATATATCTATGCATTATTGATATATCTGCTTCTATTAGCAATACCACATAATTTATTTTACAAATAAGTACAGGTTTATATTTCAAGCTGAAGTTTTTACTTAGAAAACAAAAAATGGCATTGTATGGCGTCAGACTGCTTTAAAGGATTTGCTGAGTTCTGTTGCTCTGTGCCAGGGATCCTCAAACTATGGCCTGCAGGCTGGATAAGGCCTGCTGAAGCAATTAATTCAGCCCACACAGCACTATGAAGCTGCCCTGGCCACATCACCCTGCTCACCCACCAGCCCCTGCCCTTCAGCCAAGTGCAGGTGTTACTTTCACGGCAGCCTGTGAGGCTCAACTGGAAGGTAAGGCCAACAGCAGGGGAGGGAAATCTGCTCTGGGCCCGTTGCACTCAGCTGAAGGGCTGTCTCAGTGGTTGGGGGTGGACATGACGAGGCTCAGCCACATTTCGCTGCTCTGGGCTGGGCAGCAGTTCAGTTTTCCCAGCTGGCCGCGCCCCCTGATTCCTGCCTATTCTTCCTTTTCTCCTTTGGCTGGTGGCAGAGAAGAAGGCGAGCCACCTCCCAGCCCACCCCCACTTGGACTCTCCACAGCTTCTGGGCCTCACCTGCTGCAGCTGCCAGCAGCCAGGCAGCACGAGGCTATACCGCCCACACCGCTCCTCCACCAGCTGGCTTTCCCTGCCAACCCGTGACCTTTTGGCCAAGCGCGGGCCTTACCTTTGCAGGCAGCCACAATGAGCAGAGCGCTGCGAGCCCCGCCGGCTGGAACTGGAAGGTAAGGCCAACAGCAGGGGAGGGAAATCTGTCCTGGAGCCACCGTGCTAGGCTGAAGGGCTGCCTCAGGTGCTGTGGATGGCGAGCCTCAGCCGCCTTTCAGGCCTGCCTCTCGGCTTCCATGGGGCCTCTGGGCACTTGACGCTCACTCGCTCACCCCTCTGCCTCAGGCCCCGCATCCAGCCCGCGACCGGGGGATGTGCCACCCAGTGCAGTGCTTTTCCCTGAGGGCTGCCTACTCACCTATCCACCGGCTGGACTGGCCTGGAATCGGCACGTCACCTTGCACCTGTCCTTGACCTCCTCCCGCCCACCCGTTGGCTTCTTGACGCGAGCAGAGACTGCTGAAGTCAGGGGAACCGCAGTGCTGGGCTCCCATGGCTGCGAGTGCCAGGGCGTAGCTAGAATTGGAAGAAAAGGCTGTACGGCTGTGGCGGAA